ACAAAGCCATACCTCCTCCCTTCCCACAGGAAGAATTTCTGGTCCTTGAAGAAGATACAAGGATTATCTATAATGCTCTTCTATCTAACTTACGAGTACAAAGAAGAAACATATTTGCAAAGTCTAACTGGTACAGGAAGAAATGTGATAGAAACATGAACATTCCTGAGATACTCCAATCATGGGAAAGAAGGGGAGTGACTAACGTTATCAATATCTTCCATGGTTTTTAAAAAGGCTCAACCCCAACAAAGAGACAAGTCTGAGACTTGCTCCCTCTCTTGCTGTCTCTGACTTGGAGAGCTCAGTGGGAACTAGCTCTCCTTCTCTCTCCACGGACATCTGCTTGCAAGTGGGCTCTGCTGGAGGGAACCAACGCTCTCAGAGCCCATCTCCAAGGAGGCCCTAGCTTTTCGAAGACATCAGGAACTCTCACAGCCCCCCAGCAAGAAGGTCCAGCCTGGATTCTGAGAAAGGTACCTGTCTTGCTCTAGCCTAGCTTTGCCTAGCAAGCTTAGGTCCAACTTTGGTCCCCAAGGATACATGTGTCTGCTCCCTTCTGTCGACAAGTCTTTTCAGTCTGTGATATGTCTGTTTCTGTGGGAAGTTCTTGCTAATATAAATTCCTCATGATTTAACTAATTCCTATTTTGATGAATGATGGTTTATATATGTTTTTGAGCTAAAAATTCTCAAGATAATCAATGAGTATTTTAATTCTACATGCTTAATATAGTCATGCTACTGTTTTCAAGGAAAGACATATGAGAGTGAGAGATTAGGAGGACTTTTAGCAAAAGCAAAAAGGTCCCAAATTCTCTTTACATGTGTAAAAGGAACCCAAGGCCAGGGTAGGCTTATTTCTCACAATTCTGGTTGGAAATCATAACACAGAATTTTGAAAGAAAGAAGCGTCACTTAACACTGTGGAATTTGGATTTCATGTAGCCCACAATGGGCAGTGGCGAAAGACTGTAAACAGTGGGGGATATAATCGAAGGTGTGCGTAAAGAGCATTGAGATGTTCTTAACCAACAGGGAGGCTGGACTAGAAGGGAGAAGAAAGTGGAAGCAGGAGCATCTATTGGGAGGTTATTGCAATAAAATGTGTGAGAGGTTAGGAGGGCCTGAACTAGGCTGGTAGCAGAAGAAGGGATGGGAAGGTGTGGATTTGGGAGCCATTAGCCAGAATCCTAACCAAGGCAGCTTAGATGAAAAGTTGGGGCTGCAATGCGGCCTAGGTCAGTGGGCTGTGAATGGACAGATCAAGAAGGAGAGAGATAAGAAGGAGAGGGCTAGAAAAAGAAAGAATAAAGAGGAGAAAAGGGTTTTTTTTTCTTTTGGTGCTTCTTTTGTAGACTCTTGGGAACTTCCATAATAACCCCTTCTGCAGACCTACAAAAGCCAACTAGGGGAAGGATGCAAGTACCAGGCTGGGGGGGTAGACTAGATGACCCAGGAGGGTTTTTCCCACTCCAATTCTAGGCCCTCCTTCATCAATTATTTCATAGGCCAATTCTACTGTCTACGATCATAGATTTCTAACTGAAAAGGCCTTTGAAGGTCATATAATCCAAATTCTGCATTTCAGACATGAGGTGCTGAGGCCCTCATGGGAATTAAGGGGCTTCCCAAATTAACATAATTAATTAGTGGCAGAGACAGAATTTATACTCGGGACCTCTTGACTCCAAATCCAGAACTCTTTCAATGGTTCCAGGTTGAGAGGCCAATGCATCTCCTGCACTACTAGGCTAGAAGAGACATCCACATCGTTCTGCAACCTGGCAAGTCTTTGGTTGCAGAGGGTGGCAAGGAGTCATGGCCCTGAGCCCTCTGTAGTACCTCAGTAACTTGGGGGCCCAACTATGAAAAGAAATGGAGAGAAGTAAGACCTCTCACTCTACCAAGTGAGGGTGACTTCAGCAGTGTTCCATTCAAGCCACATCTTGGGATTTAGACTTCTCAATCATGCTGTCTAGCTAAACAGGAAATGCTGTCGGGCCACATCTCAGCCAGCTAGACTCCAGCCCTGAATTCCTTACTGCTACACTGGCCTGGGGCCATTGAAAAATGGGAGCTGAAGTGGAAATGGGGCTTGAGTGATGGAATGTTGATTAATGAATAACTGGGCTGGAACCCATCACATAGAAAGGCAATGAAGTAGAATGTGAGTCAGGAAACCATGGTTCTAGTTTCAGCTCCATCACTAGCAAGCTCAATGACCTCAGGGCTCCCTTCTCTGGGCTTCAGTTTCCTCATCTATAAGATGAGAAGGTAGTCCTAGATGGTCTCCAAAGTCTTTGTCACTTCCAAAATTACGTGATTCTATTCTGAAAGTATCATAAGGCCCCACTTCCCACTGTGGTAAGGAAGGGGGAGGGGGAGGTTCTTCGACTCCTGACTTCTTCTTCGGACATTGGGCACCAGGAGACCTGAGCTTGAGGTGGTTAGGATGTGCCACCTATCGATTCATGTCCTTAACTAGTCATGTCACCATCACCTCCCCCACAAACCCCAAATACAGAATGAGTTGGGGATAGAAATGAGGTCTCAAGTGCCCTCCATTTTGAAATCTCTGATTTCATGTCCTCCAGAGGAGCTGTGTTCCCCATTCTTTAGTCTCCCTTTCTACCTGTCTATTTGGGTGTCCAGTCAAGTCTTGGGTGCCTAGTTTTCTCCTGCTCATTACCTCAGAGAGATGACACACTGCCATTTCTTTAGCCATCTCATTCCTCTGCAGAAGCCTACAACTGGAGGCAGTGGAGTGGAGTGGGAAGAGGGGTAGACTTGGAATCCGAGGTCCTGAATTTAAATTCTGACTCTGCCCCTTATTGCTGGTATGAGTTCCTTGGCAAACTGCTTAAGCCTCTTTGTGCCTCAGTTTCCTCATCTATAAACTGAAGAGAGTCAGCAAGTTGATGTCTAAGGTCCATTCCAGCTCTATACCTACAAATTCTTGACCTTAAGCTCTGACCTCTTATCCAAGCTTTAGTTCCATATTTACAGATACATGCCTTTGTCACGTCATCTCAATGGCCTAAAACCCAATTTATCAAACTCTCTACCCACATCCCCAAGAGATCTGTCCAAATTTTCTCATTTTTGTAAATAGCACCATCAGTCTTTCAGTGCCCTAGAAGTGAAATCTCGGTGACATCTTTGTCTTTCGTAGCTTCACCACTTCCCACTGATAACAAATCCTCTGCAGATTCTCTCAGTCGTCCCTTTCTCTTTACTCACACTGCTATAGTTCAGGCCTCTTCTAACTCTAATTCTAACCCTCAAATCAGAATCTGTACAACTGCCTCCCCTTGCTGGCCTCCCAGACTTGGCTCCACTTTCAATTCATCCTGTGCCACAATTTTATATGAAATGGCCTAAAGCACTGGTTTTATGATGCCACCACTCTGCTCTAAAACCAACATTGGCTCCCAATTGCCTGTCACAGACATCAGTGACCTAGACATGGGTACTCTACTAGGTCTTCTGTGGCCTCAAAGGTGGCTAACAAATCCAATTAGACCCAAGGAAAATTTAGGAAGTCAAGTCTTTTGTTAGCATGGATTAAGCTGTAAAGTATTCCTATTAACTGGGGAATTTACACTTTAAAAGAACTCAGTATCTCTCTTGAATCCCTGGGATGTGACAGAACATTTGCCTCCTACAGGCTGCCCTCCTGGGCATCTCCTGCATATCTCAGGCTCATCTTCTACCTCCATCCAGGCCTTACTTTTCTTCTGCTTCACCCTTTCTAGAATGTCCTCCCCATGGTCCCCACCTCTAGCTGAAACCTCACTTTGCTTTGAGATCCAGCTTGGAGTCCCACCTCTTTTCTGAGCTGTTTTCCTTTCACAGGTGTGCGTTTAGCACAGCAGTGCCTCGAACTTGGTAAATGCTTTGTAAATGCTAGTTATCAGTATTAGTGTTATTGTTATTATTATTATTATTATTATTACTGGTATGTCCCACTTGACTTTTAAACTTCTCTACTGTAAGTTGGACCTTCTATTCTCCCACACAACACAGCTGATGGAGAGGGTGGCTCTGGAGCTCTCAAAGGGCCTACAGTTGGGCATGCCAACGACATCTTAGTTCCCTCATTTAGCCTCTACATTCCTTGACAATATCCATATCATCCCTATCTTTTTTTCCAATGCCTGTTACCACCAACCACTGTTGAATTTTGCTGACTAGGCTATTTTCAACTGAAAGATTGAGGAAATGGCCAAAGAGAGTGGGGAGACTGTCAGTGCTAAGATTAGGAACCGTTTCAAATAAGAATGACAAGGGGAAGAAACCTATGCACAGTGCTCCAATTAGCTGAACCCTCCAGATGGAGGGAGCAACTTGTAGAGAGGCCAGGCTCTGGCAGAGAAGAGAGGAGCTAGGGAATAAGGCTACTCATGTTAACAAAAATTGTCACCACTCTGTTCTGGCTACAGGTCATTGATGAGAACAGGCCACCTCCTTTCGGAGGCACCCGGTCTTAGCAAACAAAAGTTAATTAAGCATTCGGGGGTGAAGGTGAGGCCTGTTCCTCAGAAAGTGCGAGGGCGGAAAGAGCCTCCTTCCCACCTTTCCAAATAGCCATTTCTTCCCTTTCTCCCCTCTCTGCGTGCGATGCTGTGCAGTGTCGCTGTGCAGTGTCGGGGTCTGCCTTGGGTCCCCTCATCTGGGAAATGATGGGGTTAAACTCGATGACCTCTGAAAAATCCACCTCGGCGCTCGAGCTCACACTCTGGGTCCCAGGGTCCCAGGCTGCGGCCCCATGGCCCATAGCAGCAGACTGGCCAGGGGCGCCCCAGCCCCTGCCCGCCCCTCCTTACTCTGCGCTTGCGGGCAGCCCCCCCACCCCCCCCTTGCTTAGCTGGCGCAGAAGGAGCCCCTTCAGGGGCGGGAGGGAGGGGCAGACGCCCCTTCCCAACTCCGAGCCCCCCAAGGCCGCCCTCCCAGCCCCGCCCTGCCCCGAGCCCACCCTGTCTGTGGTCTGCACCCACCTGCGCGGGAGGCGGCGGGCGGGCTGCGGGCGGCCCCAGGGCACCGGCGGGAGGGGGAGGACAAGGGGAGGGGATGGCGGCCCGAGACTTCGGCCCCGCCCCCACCCAGCTCTTTCCGGCCACGAAGACTACGCTGCCCTTCCCGGGCTCCCCCCGGGCCTACGACGGAGAGAGGCGGGGAGAGGGCCTAAGGGGGCCCGCGGGAGGGGGTCGGCCCGCCACGTGGAGCCTGCCAGGCCCGGACAGCGCCGCGCCCCCTGCTCCCCTCCCTGCCGTGCCGCGCTGGCACTGCGCTAACACTAGGGAATGGCAGCTCTGCGCGCGCCGGACCGCTGGGGGCGGGCGGGGGGGGGGGGGGGGCCGGGTGGGGGGGGGGGGGGGAGGGGGGGGGGGGGGGAGGCCAGAACTGGAGGGCGAGGGCGGGCCCTGCAAGCATCTGACTGGTGGAGCCAGCAGACCCCTAAGCTAAAGAGAGAATAGCCCCGCTGGCTCAGCACAGCGACTTAGGGATCAATTTCCCCTAACCGACTTTTCATTCTTTCTCAAGGTGATGCAGTTCATACTTTTTTATTATTCTCCACCAACAGTTTTTGTTTGCTTTTCGCAAATAATAACTTAAATAATAACTTAAAGATTTGCAAAGCACTTTACACATGTTAACTCCCATTCCCATTTTACAGATGAGGAAACTGAGGCTCAGAAGTTGAGTGACAGGGTCACAAAGCTAGTAAGTTTCTGAGGCAGCATTGGATCTCAGGTCTTCCTGACTCCAGGTCCCGAACTCAAGCCACTCGGGTCAGATGAGTTTGCACTCCCACTCCTACCAGCTAAAGAAACCTGTGTAGATATTTCTACAGTAAGACCATTTCCAAGCTCTTTCAATCTCACTAGGTTACCAGTTGGACGTTTTTAAATATCTCTAAGAAATATTTGCTTTGGGCCATTATTTCGAGCAGGTGGAATTATAGAACAAGAGTTGGAAGGGACTTGAGAAATCTTTTACCCCGAACCCCTCAATTTAAAATGAGGAAACCAGCAGAGAAGCTTCAACTCGCCCAAGGTCACACAGATAACAAGCATCCCAGGTGAAATTTGACCGCCTCCTGTCCTTGGAGGCCAGAGCCAGTAGCTCCTATCCCATCCCTCATATCCTAGGATCCTGGATCTAAGAGCTGGCAAGGATCTAGAGACCATATAGTTCAACTCCTTCATTTTACAGATGAGGAAACTGAGGCACAGGGAGGGGATGTGACTTACCTTTGGTTACCTGAATAGTAGGGGATAGAGGTAAGGATTTAAAACAAGATCTTCTTATGAGAGAGCCAGGTATTCTTGCATTGTCCAACACTGACTCCCGGGTTCCCCCTTCCAGGGGTGGGGAACCTGTGGCCTTGAGGCCACATCCAAACTTCACAGAACAAATCCCCTTAATAAAAGGATTTGTTCCTAAAACTTAGACTCAGTCAAAAGGCAGCACCTAAGGACCTAGAAAGCCACGTGGCCTCGAGGCAGCAGGTTCCCCACCCCTGTGAACCTTCACCCATGGGGTTGGAACAGCTATCATTACACTCAGTTACCTTGCATCTTTATCTTTATATCTATTTTAGTATTGATTTTTATCTTTGCTCCAATTTTGATGATCTGACTACACAGAGCACACAGTGATTGCTGTTTCAGTAAGCAATTCTTTTTCTTTGTTGGGAGAAACAATCTATTCCCTTTTGTGTGTGTGTGTGTGATGATGTCCCGTCTCTCCCAGTGTGTTACAACTGTCTTCCAAAAAAAAAAAAAGAGTCCTCTTTTACTTCTTTTGAGCCCTTATCATAGTTTCCAACAGTTTTCAGCATTGTCCCCTGTCCTTACCTATGCATTAAAATGATAAAGCTGTCCTCCTCTTCTTGGCGGTCTGCTCACTTCTATTCATCCTTAGTACTTCAGGATAAGATGACCAAATATCCCATGAAATAATATTGCTTGATGCTTTGAATAAAACTAACTCTACCAGTTCCTTTATTTCCCTCTTCACACAGAAGCTGTGAGCTATATTTCCATTAACTGCAACTGATTTGTATGTTCTGGCATCATTTCTAGTGAAAATACCAATAGGGATGTGGTATTTCTCCTTTCCCCCTTTTCAATACATATGCAGATAAGTAAATACAAAGTAAACACAAAGGAATTGGGGAAGAGGGGAGGGGAAGAAGGAACACCTGACTCCAGTGGCCTCTAAGTCCCATAAGCCAAAGCCTGAATTACCCAATGGGATACATACATGCATTAAGTGCTGGCATCCCTCAACTCAAAACTTCTGTCATCTGACACAAAAACACATTTTTCCTTTTGTCATTTCCTTTTATATTTTGAATTTAAATTCCAAAATAGCATTTACATATGTAATATGCATCCAAAATGATGATTATATATGAAACCATGAATCAGTTTTCATAACCACTTCATTTTTTAATTATATAATATATTCCGGACATGACTTCCAAAGCTGTCCTGCTTGCCTAGGCCTTGTTCTGTTCTCTTTTGTGCACTTAAAAGAGTATTCCAATGCCTCTCTCTCTTTTTTCTAGTATCGATATTACTTACCTTACCTTCCCCAACTCCCCAACTTCCAAACTCAAAAACAAAAACTTGTAACAAGCACAATCAAGCAAAATGAATCCATATGGTGGCTATATTTGAAAATAGTCTGCACTTTGTATCTATCACCTGTCTGTTGGGAGAAAGATCCACTTCATCATAGGTCCTCTGTCAGCAATGGAAGGGTTTCATGGACTGTTAGGCATGGAAGGAACTGTTAAACAAAGCAGATAAAATGATATAACTGAAAGATCCCTAGAAAATGGAAGGGCAGGTGGTATAGAAGGGTCCTTAAAACAATAAAATGTCAGAGCTGACATAGACCTTAGATCATGGAGTGATAAATCTTGAAGGCACCTTGTAATTCACTATGTTAAGACCAAAAGAGGCCTAAGAAGCCAGATTGTCACATTGGCATATGACAGTCTGTTAGGACCCTTAGAAGATAGAGTATCAGGGCTGCATGGTATCAGAGGGGATTTTCTTGAGGGATAGATTGGACTATATGATCCTCTCCAGTTCTGAAATCCTATGAGTCTAAGAATCTGTGAAACTGAGAACGTTGCTATATTATTTTACTATGTGAGGCTTGGAAGGGGCTTTGTAACATAGACTGACATGGCTGGAACAGACAATGCGCTGACAGGACATTATTGACTATCAGACTGAAAGGGGCCATGAAACACAGAACACGCATGGCCATTTGTTGGTCATGTTGTTGAGAAGATACTTATTCATGAGTGGGTTCTGCTAGAGGGGTTCTGAGGTACTCCTTCTTTCTGCAGCTCTCTGTTCAATGATATCAGGGCTGGCAGGAAGAGGTCTTATAACATGGATGGATGATCAGAACTTTGGAACCTTGTGAAACAGACCATGTAGAATGTCACTGTAAGACAGAACCTTATAACATGAATGGTCAGAGCTGAAAGGGGCCCTGGATCACAGAATATGAGAAGGTAGAACCAGAAGAATCTGTGCATTGGATGACTTTTGAGATTCCTTCCACCTCAGAGTTTCTCTGTTCCTATGTTTTCATGAAACATCAAGCATAGAAAAGCAGGACTAAAATATTAGACAGCCAGAGCTGCAAATAGACTGCTAAAGCTAGAAGGAGACTGAGAACCTAGACTTGCCTCTGTCTCTCTCTCTCTGTCTCTATCTCTGTTTCTGTCTCTGTCTCTCTCAGTCTCTGTCTCTCACTCGCTCCTCTCTCTGTCTCTGTGTCTGTCTGTCCCTCTCTGTGTCTCTGTGTGTCTCTCTGTCTCTTCTCTTCTCTCTCTCTCTCTCGATATGTGACTTATTCAATTCTATAATATGACCCATTCTCCAAGACCCCCAACGAAAACAAAGAAATAAGAAAAGGACCCCCATGTACAAATACATAGACAGAGAGACAAAGAAGAGACAAAGAGAAGCAGAAAGAGACAGAGAAATAGGGAAGGAGAGAGAGAGCAGCCCTTTTCTAGTAAATCCTGCAGACCCTTTTCTAGTAGTACTACTATAAACATGGTAAAACTCAACAAGGCCACAAGCCATAAGAAATCTGATTAGTGTAGTGATTGACCAGAGTTCCAGAGGATTAACAATAGACACAGGGGTACATGCTCCCCATCTCCTGACTGAGAAGTCCAGAAGGAGACACCTATTTCTTGGCCATGGTCAATGAGGGAATTGACTTTGCTTCACTATCCATATTTGTTATGGGGGGTTTGTTTTAATTTTCAGTGGGAGGGGAAGGAAGGAGAAAAAAGTCTGTTTCTGTTCATTGAATTAAAGAAGAACATAGACTTACAGGGTTAGAAGGGACCTTATCACATAAGACATGAAATGGCAGAGTTTGGTGAAGTCACAGAACATGTCATCACAGAGCTGGTTGTTGTTTAGTCGTTTCAGTCATGTCTGACTCTTCTAGTCCTTAGAAAATACAGCCAGGGCCAAAGGGATGGTAAAAGAGACCATAGAGCATCAGAGTTGAAAGACGCCTTAGAATAAAGAGCCACATGGCAGAGCTGATAGGTCTTAGATCATGGGCTAACAGAGATGGATGTCCTTAGAAAATGGAATCAGGTCTGGAGAGGCCTGTAGAATGCAGAACACAGTGTCAGAAATGGAAATCATCTTAGCACATGGAAAACTTTGTCAGAGTGGAGAGGTGATATTCCCAGACTATTTTAGACAAAGAAATCCCAAGATTCAGTACCATCATCTTTCCAGTCACTCAGATTCATGACCTCAGTGCCATCCTCAATTCTTCTCTTAGTTACCCAATATATCTAATCAATTGTCCAAAAAGGAAAATGATGAATATTGGAGGGGCTGTGGAAAAACAGCGCACCATAACACACTGTTGGTGGACCTGTGAATGGATATGACCATTCTTGAAAGCAATTTGGAATTATACACAAAAAGTTAGCAAACACTGCATGCCCTGGAAGAGTAAGTA